TGCATTGATAAAGATCTGGAATTTCGAATTGAATGCTTGGCTTAGAAAAATAAGTAAACGTGATGTTTCAACAAACCAAAACAAAATGTTCTGTGTAGTTGCTTACCGGCAAGGCACTGATGCCAGAACCTGCAGTTGCCTTCACTCTGATTCAAAGTCTTCTCATTCTTCTCCAAAGAGGATACTATTGAAAAAATATGGGTTTTTTTACTCTTTAATCCATTTATTTAAGTATTAATTTTTTATATATTGATTTAAGCGTTACGGAGTAACAGATTGTTATCAACTTCAGTACAATTGGCCCCTTTATGTCCGATTTACACTACAAAAACTAACAGGGTTTGACTCGAGATATTCCAGTTTGTTATTCCGAATTCCGAAATATAAGTTACAATTGATAGTGTATTACGCAATAAGTTCTTTTTTTTTCTAAACCCTCGGCATGTCTAAGAACTCAATTGCGACGCTTGCAAGCTTTGTGATTCGTAAACATTCCATTCCGCATGCGCACTTCATTAATTAGCAGTTAATTAATCACGAGATTTCTCGTGCAGGTATGTGAAATCTTACCGTTTAGCTGACAATTGTCTCCAAAGTAGCCTTTGGTGCAGATGCATAAACGTCCCTCTTCAGTTTCAACAGCGATTGCCCGTTCTGGGCACTCTTTCTCTGCAGCACTTGCGTTTATCATAAAAAACGCAACGAACACGAGGAGCAAAACCTCGCAAGACTTCATTGTTCCAGCGAACGATTGAAATCAATCAATTAGTGACGACGTCGTAATTAAGTATCTCTCGCCCCAGTCCACTTTGAAGAAATTGCGTCATTATTTTCTAACTGACTTGGAACCTTTGGCAAATTAGGAAAAAATCTCGCGGAAACACCTGAAAATTTCCCAAATGTTTGCGCAAACAATTTTTGCTTTCCGAGAAGCAGAAACTGTCCGACAAATTCACCTCCTATGTAATGTTTTTTCCGAAAAAATGTCAATCATTAAATGTAAATATACCCAAGCTACGCCGGTGAGCTGGAAAGTTCTTTTTCGTAGTTTCGTTACAGTATTTGCCACTTTGGAAACAATATTTGTGTAGCAATGTGTCTTGATTGACCCGGACTTTTATAGGGCCGGACGATTTTAATATCTTCTATTTTTCTTGCAAAGTGTCAGTAAGCTAATGATGATAATTATGTGTCACATTTAGAAAACTGCATTCAGATGAAAAGACTGTTCCTTTTGTCTTCATATGAAATGCATGGAAAACTGTCTAAATAGTAGATGGTAATCACAGGTTCGATTCCTGTTAGAGAACGCATAGTTGCATTTTTTCACAACTGCTCCTGGGTAGATCTAAAAGTGCATGACAAATTTTGTATATTTTATTTTAAATTTTATCGAAGGATATGCTTGGTGACTTGGACGCGAGGATGAATGCTCGGATTTGGAAAAAAACGTGAGTCGTGACTGATTTTGACGACAATTTTTCAAAATGACTTCTTCGCTTTCAGAAACAGATTTCCAACATCAAATGTTGAATATTAGGATTCGACTGGATCATAATGGATTTTATGGAATACTGTTGGAGAAATGGCCGTCTCCGCTGCAGGTATAATAAGAGAGTTTGAGCAAGAGGACGAAGACGTGCACACGTATAAACGCACAAGTTGTAACAAACCTGCAGCAGACTTGTCGCAATGTTGTTCCAGCAACTTGACAACAGGATGTGCATGTTCATACTGCTTGTTCCCAGCTTGTTGACAAGTTGTCAACGACCTGTTCACAACTTGCTACTAAAAAGGCAAGGCTATTGGCTAGCTTAAAGGTGATCTACAGTCCAATCTGCGCATGTGCACAAATGAGCCCACTTTTTATGATACAAACAGTTTAACTATGTTTTGAGTTCTTGAAAAGCCTAATTGTTGTTTCTTGATCATTTATTACACTCTAGAAGCTTGAAAATATAAATAGTTGTCGAATAAAGCTCAATATTTTGGACACAAAAATGTAAACAAAGGCTTTGTTTACATACGGACTGTAGATCACCTTTGAGTTACGTGCTGAATTGTGATTGGCAGCACAATGTGTGGTGACAACTCTCTGCTTATTCTGTGATATCTTTAGAGTCTGTAATGATTGACATTCACTTTCCAATAGCGTGATGTCAACAACCCTACCAAAAGATATCAACCAACTTCGGCCTATCGTGTGGTGTTGGAACTGGTAAACCGCTCAGTCGTGATTGATATGGACTTCCAAGAGCCGCAATGTCAAGCAGCAACAACCTAGCATGCGAACAGGCGTTTATTATTACCAGGCCCACCTGAATAAACGCCTGTGCGCACGTTAATAACGACCTTCCCAAGAGACCGTCCTCGTAATGTTTCCAGATGAATACTAGAATTCTTTCCTTCAGACTTTAATACTGCACCCCCGGCATCACAACACTCAATGGCGTTGCATTTGTGACAGAAACCCGGGTTGCTTTTTTTTGTGTCATATTTTCAGGGTGAGTATCAACATTCTGGTCGTTATTGCCATGGCGACCGTAGAAAGTGGAAGCACTTTTTGGTTGCAGTGAAACCACTTTAGGAAACGCTATGGCAATAACAACACTTCCAGGAAACATCAGACAATTTCGGCTTTATGTAATATTATAAGACTGAAATATCAGCATTGTTTTTTTCAAACTTTCCGGGACAGCTCAGTTACAATACGACAATTAGCTTTAATTAGTGTGACGTCATATTTAAGTAACTTTCCCCAGTTTTACTAATTGCGTCATGTTTTCCAACTGAACTATAACACTGTCTGGACGGTTTCTGACAAGAAACGTAATACAAATAAAATAACACATGCGAGGTTTTACATGTAGATAAGAAATTGGACTAAAAATCTAAAATACGCAACGTCAAATTCATAGATGTATATACTGTAATTAAAATAGTTGTGATACAGATGTAGTCCATATATATTTACACATTACGTCACTTATTCTGAAGTTATTAAAGTCTTTAGAGAAACCATATACCATGTATTAACCCCCTTCCTGACGCGTTTACCCCTAGCTACTGGGGACGGTCAGGGTACGAGAGAGTGTTATTTGAGGGGAGGGCCGCGGGCGTACTGCAGGGAGGGGCTTCATGGAGGAATTACGATGAAGTCACTTTGAAATACTCTCGGAAGCACAGTCTGCTCCAGGGAGTTCTGACTGTTTGTCTTCCTGTGGCTGATCTATCGGCTGACTGTCAGCGCCATCGTCCTTCGATGCCTCAGGGCATTCTTGCAGCTGTGGCTCCATTTCAATGACCACTGAGCCAGAAGAAGGCTGGCTTTCAGTGCTTGCACGGAGCTCGCTTCGATCTTTGCGGATCTTCTTTCCGTTGCAAAGAATGCACAGCCTATGGTTTGGAAATAAACAGGTTAGCATTTAGTGAAGGTTATGTAGTGGAAATAAATTGGCGATATATTATTAATTGGGTGTGAGGTTCGATGGAGTCGAACATTAATGAGTATCTCACCTGACAACAGCGTAAACAATAGCTCGCAAAATGGGTGAGGCGACGACGCCAGTCACTACGCCAATTACGAAGGAGAGTTGTTCAAAATCTTTGAAGAATGCTTTGAAAGATCTCATCAGGTTGAACCAACGAACTAAAACAAACAAGTTACAATATGAAAATTATCAGCCATATTTCCATTGTGTGTCAAGTCTGTCTTTGATAGCAAGACTTTTGTCAACTTCGTTCCCAGGCTTTTTTATCTTCTTTAACTCCATGGTCATGCAACTCTGGTTCTTTTTCGCCAGGGCATGATGACGTAACTAATGAATTGACGTTACTAATCTAATTAACGTTTTAATTTGTAGTTAATTAACTTTCTAATGACGCGATTGTTTTACATCATTTGCATTGATAAAGAACTGGAATTACGAATTGAATGGTTGGCTTAGAAAAATAAGTAAACGTGATGTTTCAACAAACCAAAACAAAATGTTCTGTGTAGTTGCTTACCGGCAAGGCACTGATGCCAGAACCTGCAGTTGCCTTCACTCTGATTCAAAGTCTTCTCATTCTTCTCCAAAGAGGATACTATTGAAAAAAATATGGTTTTTTACTCTTTAATCCATTTATTTAAGTATTAATCTTTTATATTGATTGAAGCGTTACGGAGTAACAGATTGTTATCAACTTCAGTACAATTGTCCCCTTTATGTCCGATTTAATACAGTACGAAAACTAACAGGGTTTGACTCGAGATATTCCAGTTTGTTATTCCGAATTCCTAAATATAAACAGGCCTATCCCAGCATCGACCAAACTTGCAGTAGGGCAGTTGACGAAGTTACAATTGATAGTGTATCACGCAATAAGTGCTTTTTCTTCTAAAACCTCGGCATGTCTAAGAACTCAATTGCGACGCTTGCAAGTTTTGTGATTCGTAAACATTCCATTCCGCATGCGCACTTCATTAATTAGCAGTTAATCAATCACGAGATCTCTCGTGCAGCTCTTACCGTTTAGCTGACAAGTGTCTCCAAAATAGCCTTTGGTGCAGATGCATAAACGTCCCTCTTCAGTTTCAATAGCGATTGCCCGTTCTGGGCACTCTTTCTCTGCAGCACTTGCGTTTATCATAAAAAACGCAACGAACACGAGGAGCAAAACCTCGCAAGACTTCATTGTTCCAGCGAACGATTGAAATCAATCAATTAGTGACGACGTCGTAATTAAGTATCTCTCGCCCCGGTCCACTTTGAAGAAATTACGTCATTATTTTCTCACTGACTTGGAACCTTTGGCAAATTAGGAAAAATTGTCGCGGAAACACCTGAAAATTTCCCGAATGTTTGCGCAAACAAATTTTGCTTTCCGAGAAGCAGAAACTGTCCGACAAATTCACCTCCTATGTAATGTTTAGAAAAATAACTGCATTGTCACAACTTGTTGTTCCAAGCTTGCTATTAGCCTGTTGCGAACTGCATCTACAACTGAAAAGACATGGCCAAATTGTTAACTATTTGTTTTATATAGTAAAAAGCAAAATCAAAAGTAAACAGGTGAATAGTTTTTATTTATCCAATACATTTGGAAATTTGAAAAAATCGATATATGTCGCGTACATGACCTATGCAAAAAGGCAAGGCTATTGGCTAGCTAAGTCACGTTCTGAATTGTGATTGGCTGCACAAAACCAAGTTTGTGTGACGTAATTCCGTGCGTCTGTCCTCTGATAGATCATGGCTTTCGACCTGTTAAATTGCATGATCAATTCTTAAGATTATATCAACTCGATTCTATGATAGATTTAAAGTGACTAACACCAGATATAATTTTTGGTGTGTGTAATGTTTGGGTCATTCTAAGAAGAAATGTAATGTATCTTTATAGTAAAAAACCTCATCTTGGTCAACTTTTTTGCTGTCAAAGTTTCCAGATATGATGTCATTAGGTGAATTTTTGGTACAAAAAACAAAGGAAAACTAATTTGCAATTCACCTAATGACATCATATCCGCAAACTTTGACAGTGAAAAAGATGATTATATATATAAGATGGGATTTTTTACTATAAAGATATCTTACATTTCTTCTTCGAATGACCCAAATATTATTACACATACCAAAAATCCTTCTGGAAAGTACGTCACTTCGGCTATAGAGCCTCGCTTTCGTGTATGTGGACATTAGTTAAATCCGACGTCTCAATCGTGAAAACGAGGCTTTATACCCAAGGTGACGTACATTCCAGAAGCGTGTATTGAAGTCATGAACGTTTCCCAACTGCCCCTTCGTGTTTGCCAATCTATAGCTATCTATAATATTGCTTAATGTATCTCAGTATTATACAGAGTCCCAGTACGTGGAAGCTATAGCGAAGTAAAAAATTGTCCTTAAGCAGACATGTTATCACAGAGGGATGCCCCTCTCCTGTATTGAGCCCATTCACCACCTCCATACACAGTCGCACCAATGCGCTGTTTGGTCGCTACAGACCGTACTAAAACACCAAACAAACTGATGTTGCCCGTGGAAAAATTGAATGGTACCAAATATGCGTTGATAGTTTTTAACTTGAGCAAATTTCCACTGCATTCCCATTGCTGAAATTGATTGTCTTGTTTGAAGCCACAGCGACGTAGAAATAAAGTTCCGCGCTGACTTGCGGTTAAACAACGTTGCCCGCCTTTTAATCTTAGTTCTCCGTCTTTTGTCCATAACCAAAGCCGAGCATAGGCATTCGAGTTGTGGTCGCAGTTTTTTAAGGTTAGCGAGGGATCAAAGAGTCTTGATGACGTCCAGGGGTTGCGGTACACTAGGCATTGTCCGTGATAACTTGTGCTTTGAATTTTGAATGCGTTGTCTTGAAATACAACTGCTGAACGAGAAAATAGTTTTTTAAAACAATTATTGAACGAGGTTGATCGTGATATGAAGAATCATCAAGCCGAATTCATTAATTGTTTTATTAGTTTAATAAAAGATGAAACAGGGGCCGGTTGTAGGAAGCAATTTTTGTTGTGACACAATTCCTATCATTCCTCACTCTTTTGGCAGTCATCATTGGCATGACGTCATAGCCTTTGATAGTATCAGTTTCGCGTGAGCGTTATGACGTCACTCCGTTGAATATTGGTCAGTAATTGAGGTGATATGACGATTTTACAGTTGGCTGTTAACCAATCAGAAATTATGAATTCTCAGTTTAAATAAATAATAATTTAATAGATTATACTACTTGGACTACATTCACATATGAGTGAGACAGGATAAATTCGGAACTGTGTGTAATTTTTTTCTCACACGGGAGTTTGTAGCGGACCAATATATAATTATTATATATTCACCATTTTTAAGTTGGGGTAATTGTCTTCCCGTTTCTGAGAATCTGGACAATCTAAACAATGTGGAAAGCGACTTAAGTTTTAAAGTTGTAACTGTAAATTTACCATCACAAAACTACAGTGTCGCATTTCTTCTTGAGTATTTCTACCTTGAAAGAGGCAGCTTCCCAAAATGGCGGCTAAGTCCAGCGTGAGAAATACTAACTAGACGAACTTAAACAAGACTTAATCTTGCCGGCGTAGCTGGTGGTTAAACTCTTAATCATAGTTATGACTTAATTCAGCGCCGAGACGTGACAACAGAAAAGGTGGAGAGGGGAGAAAAACAAGTTGAAACCGACAGTCCCGCGAATTTATCTGGTCCCGTAGAGACAGGTCATTAAAATTTGGAATTTCAACAGCAAATCATAGTACTGCCCTGACTAGTGGAACCGACATTTTTTACTCTGCATGGCCAGTCCGTGTGTCTGAGCAGGTTTTCTCGCAACGATATTTCTGCGAGTGTGAACGATATTGGACTGAGTTTACTTTTGTTTGGACTGATTCAGTCTAATTTAATAGTACAACAGTATAATGTGTCTAATTAAATGTATCAACTAATTACAATGGGACACAAATACCGGTTAGAGCACTAGCATGTTAAGGCGCAAAGAAAGCCTGTGGCAAAACTATGTGGATTATAATGCCATTGATATATTTAGCCGATTATACGCCCCTTTCTAAAATTTATTTCATAGTTCAGGAAAGGGTCGATCAAAACTTTTGTTCTAAATGCTTATATATTTCTTTGCGTACTCACCTTTTCCCCCATTTCTACGAATCGCACAAATTGAAGCGCACAGACAAGACAACAACACAACACGGTACATCGTCACAGAATAGGAAATAGACGATAATTTATGGACACTGTGTATTAATATAGGATCTGCGCATGAAAGACGTGTTGGCCTGCGTAGCTTACGGTTTTATGTGCAGTGGTTGAAGGAAATGAAATGAAACCACCCCAGTTATACAGAGTTCAGACATAAATCAAAACAATACATGTTTTCATTTAAAACCGTCAACACAACATGAGCACAACGGGATTTCGATTGCAGAAAGTCGTTGACTTGGTAAAGAATTTGTTGTTTCAATTATAGTGTACAGTATTGATTTAATAACTGATGTATCTAATTAAATGGATAATATCAACCAATTAAAATGACACCGCAAATTCATGGGCCAAATAGGATAGGATATATGAAGTAGAGGATCATATAGACGCTGTGTATTGAAATAGGGTCTGCGCAAAGACGTGGAAGCCTGCGTAGCTTACAGTATTAAAGGTTGAAAGAAAATTATAAACCACCCAGCATACAGGGTTAAGACATGAATCAAAACAATACATTTCAAAACCGCCAACACGACATGACCACAACGGGGAGCTCAATTGCAGAACATCTTTGGCAAAGAATGTGTTATTTCAATTTTCTCATGAATATATATGACACAGCGTTGGAAAACTTCGAATCAACACGATTGTTTACATTTCAGAATGACCTTGAATCCACTGCTTGAATCTAATAAACCATTTATGGGTGGCAAACTGTACAGCAGAAGAGCCATGTCAACAAGGAACGGAGTGATTCAGTAAAGTAAATAGTACTATAAACAATAGTTTTACTTCACTAAATTCACTCTTTCCCTTGGTGCCGGCTACATTCCCCCACATAGGACATATAGGAGGGTGTTTATGGGGTATATCGTGAGTCGTGATTCACTCAATTTCGCTTACCGTCAGTCGTGAAAACACTAAAACTTTTGCGTGAATCGTGAGGAAAAAAAATACTGTTTATCGTTTCAGAACACTTTTCAAAGATTTACCGTTAAAATACCAAAATGTTACGGCTCATTGTTACCGTTAAAATACCAAAATGTTTACCGTTTACTGTTTCAGTACGTTGACTACAGTTAGTGTGAAAGTCTGAACCAATCAGAATCTCGTATAAATTTTAACTGCTATTTAACTACAAAATAGCCCCTGCACTTTAAGCCGCTGGCGTAAAAGCTTCTTTTTGAGGTAAACGAAAACCATGGTTATATATACTGAATAGTAGTATACTTATGATGACACAGTCATTGACTTATCATCTTAACTTGTCGGCACATTTATGCCTCGTCAGTTCACTGCCATGCTCAGGTACTTAAAATGCACCTAACCTCAATTCTTCTAACATCCGTCATTCCTAAGTCCTAAGAACCTTTGAAATTATATTGTAACTTATTTTGAAGATTTTCGTTTGCACACTTTGTCTCTAATATCATGAAATAAAAAGGCTAAATGGTACATATAGATATAGGTATGTAATCCTCCCACAACTCCAAACTTCATTTTAATAAATTAAACTCGATAGTGAATACGATATACAAGCTTTTACTTTAAGTCATTATGCATTTGTGACATGAATTCCGGATAATTGCATACCAAGAAAACTGAAATATCTCAGAAACAAAGTGAGCAAACTTCAAAATAAGCTATTATATCATTTCAGAAGTTCTTAAGAATGAAATGATATATGAAGAATTGAGGTTAGGTGCACTTTGTAATACCTCTTCAAATTTATAGTTTCTTTGATGATAACTAAACACTAATCAATGAAATTATTTTTTATGATTTCATGTGATTCTAAAATGTAATATTGATGTATTTATACTGGTATATATGCACCGTCAAGAACCAGGATCTTGTCAATTCACACTTTTCTTTCATTGTTCTAATCAAATCTTCCACGAAACATTAAATCCTCTTGGGAGTGTCCCGTGGCAGACGACCTTGACTAGTGGTGTGACATATTTTATCGCATTTCGTGAAAAAACCTAACACGTCAAATCACATATCTTTGAAAATAATGCAAGTTGAATCCTCTGTGATGTTTAATTGGGCATTGCACTAATGTCTAATACTCGCTTGTTCCATTGTTTACGCTAATGTTGAGAAATGAATGACGCAAGTCTCCCGGCGAAGTGCCGCATTTGCGTGCAAATTACGCAAATTAATTTTTCCTATTACAAGTGCGTCTCACTCACGGCAGCATTGATGAGTGATGGATGCGCACAGGCCTTCGTCTTAAAGTATCAAGTAACGGTATGTGGTAGACTTTCCTGCGCCTTGATTGTATATCGAGACTATCAAATACGCAAATCAGAAATCACCAAAATGAACGCTTGTATTCTTTTCATGTTGGTCTACATCGCATCATATTACGACGTGGCACAATGTAAGTAAATGGGCTTTGGTTTTTTAGGCCAGGTTTAGACGGCGTAATGCATGCCTACGTTTTCTGAATAATGCGTCCTACAAAATTGCTCTTTAGATTGACCATAGTAATGGAGAGATGTTTTGGAAACCATTAGAATAACAATGTGACTCATTATCTAATATCTATGTTAATTAACGTTTGTGCAAAAATACGGACCTTCATCGTCAGGTGTGTATATATTGTATTTTTGCCAAATCCACCAGTAGCAATTTTTAAGTTACCCAATCGTTCAAGTCACGGATTGCTAACTTTCGTAAAATAGTGTTATTGGTTAGTTGGGCAAAAATATAGTACGCACGTGACGAGGAAGGACCCTTTGACTAACTTAGATAATGAGTCTTATTGTTATAATGTTATTGATATTGTAATGATTTCCTCAGTCCATTGATCTATATATGTACCTATTGATGATTGGGTACGAGTCGGGAGGAACTCTGGGGTACCTCATTATATTTCCGAGATAGACGCCTAGCCTCGACAGTTTTTACATCAAGCAATAAAAATGAACCCTTATCACCAGGCCTGAAAATAATTTTACGTAATTCAACAAGTTATCGATCTAATCTTACGTAATATGTACATGTTGACTCGGATGTTGAGATATTTTGATTATTATAAGTTAGAAGCAAGGTTTTCTAAGAAATTCAATGAACAGTTGTAACATTCTGGGTTCTTTCTCTTCAGCTGTCCATGTATCAAACCAAGCAGGATCTGGCGCTGGATGTAATTGCCACAACCCCATTGGCTCCGGCAGCCCACCTACTACAAGCGCACCCCCAGTGGTGAAACAGACCACCTCCAAATCAAGCTATAACGTCATCAAATGCGGTACCAAAGCCCCCATTATTGCCCGTGTTGTGGGTGGGACAAAAGCCCAACCCAAAAGCTGGCCTTGGCAAATTGGCATCAAATCATGTCCCAAATGCATGTACTTTTGCGGAGGCACTATAATCGGAAAGAGATGGGTGGTAACCGCTGCACATTGTTTGGTGAACTATCTTGCTAGCGACCTTTACATCGATGCAGGGGTGACGAATCAGAAAAAGACAACCAAATACAAGCAGTCATTCAATTGTACTGCCATCCATCAGCATCAGTCGTACGCGATCAAAGCACCATATGATCAAGATATCGCAATACTGCAGTTAAATAAAGACGTAGTTTTTAACGACCATGTGAGACCGTTATGTCTAAATGAGAATGCGTTGAAGACAGACCAGATTTGTACTGTCACAGGATACGGAAAGACGTCCCATACAGCGAGAAAGAAGTCAGCGCACCTACTTCAAGCAGACGTACCAATTGTGGCCAGTGATGTGTGCGTTAAGGTAAGGACAGTGAAGTGAATAGAACTGGAACGCTATCATCGGATAAACTGCCTATCTTTTCTTGAAGTCAAATCTGACCCCTAACACTCACGTGTTTCTCGCGAGACCAGTTCAGGGAACGAACATCCCGTTCTATTCATTTCAATGGGTAGGAAAAAAGCTCTGAGCAAACTGAGTTTCTCAAACTCGTTTGTAATTCATGAGCAAAACACATATAGCCTGCATGTCAATTTACCTTGTCCCATGCAGGCTAAACAACTCTTCACCAGGCAACATCTTATGTCATTAATATCTCGTTATCTTAATAGCTCTTTCATTGAGATAAATGTAAATAATCCGTCACTAAAAGCGAGACTATAAGCTTTAAAACTACAGAGTACTAATGTGGTTTAGCATGATCCTTTGTCTATAGTATTTTTGTACCATTCTTTCAGGCGTACAACCAGACCAAGCCACCTCGCTCTGTCACGAAGAACATGTTGTGCGCCGGTTATGTTAATGGAGGTATTGACGCCTGCTCTGGGGACAGCGGCGGACCACTGACATGTTGGGATCAAAATAAAAAACATTATGTCCTTGGTGGAATTGTATCGTGGGGCGTTGGTTGCGCGGGCAAAAATACCTATGGAGTGTATACAAATGTGAAACATTTGACTGCGTGGGTAACGCGCATTACTGGAAAGATTGTGTGAAAATGGGTGATTTTTTTAACGCTGAACTCAGTAGAAATATATCAAATATTGGGAACTAAATTTTAACTGTTACTGTATGTACACTAGTTGCTGGAAATTCTCAACTACATTTTATAAACCACAGTTTTGTAGTTAAATAGTATAAATGCGCAATTTTGATTGGTTTTCTCCGAGTGCTCTGGTTCCTCCCACAGGGAAAGTTAACAGGGGATGTGTTAGGACAAACACGGTTAAGAAACTTCAAAGTAACTACACAATTGTTGTAAAACATAAATCTAGGCTAAGTATGTAATACACCCTTTCGATAATTACGTCACACACAGTAAATTACGCAAGGTGATTGGCTCAAGATTCATGAGAGCGAGGTACCAGACCAAACGACGTAATTATCAAAATGGTTTGTTCGATAGCGTATACTTGATGTAAGGCGCATTTGTCGATTTGATCATATCCACTGATGCACATGTAAATTTGGGCTATAGAAAATTATGTTAATTAGGATCGTAAAGTTCAGTGCATGGAGGGTATTTACCGACAAAAGATCGCGAATCTCGTTAGAATCTCATTACTTGCTCTCCATCTGTTTCTGTGTTAAAACTCTCGTAGGAATGCTCGAAGTCACCTATATAATAAATTGAATGTATCAAAAGAGAATGTATAATACGACAAAGAGGAAACGTAAGCCCCCAACAAGTCTAGTTTTACCATATATAGACAATTTGGTTTGCAGTCTAAATTCGCCATAAATGGACAGTTTTGACAGTTTGGTTCTATACGTTGATTGATTCTAAGGCTGTGAAATTTTCCCCTGCACTTGTTGTGGCCGAGGTTGTGGCCTGTGCCGTTACAAATTATTTCTTGAATAATTGCATATGCATTGTTGCACATGGGTGGTTCTTTTGAAATGCATGTCTCGCTTTTTTTCCATCGAACAAACGTGTTTTCATAATTTCTGAGAAATACAATTTCCCCCGAGAAACAAAATCGGGATGTCTGGTTGTTATTCAACCGCCAAAATCCCTCCTAGCTTCACACATATCACGTCTCGACCTTCATCGATCTTGTGATTTTAATTTAATTTAAATTAATGACATTATGCAAATTGACTTGCAGCATTTCTATATCAGTATCGGTCTAGTGTGTGCGCATTGTTTTTACACGGTAACCAATTGTTACTTCACGTTGCAACACTTCCGAAGGAACAGTTTTTCGCTGCGGGTTTGTTTAAACTAAAGTTTAAGAACATAACGTTATAGAGTATTTTCATATATAATCTTTACATTTTTAACTTTGCTACATATTAACTTATGGAGTGTCTCTAGCGTGTTTACACAAAACATACTTGACTCGATACTTCAATATCGCCGTAATTTGACCACCGAGTGTCAATAGGAAATACAATCTAAAATAAACCCACTCAGTCGGGGAAGCGCCCATTTATACGTACACAAAGCGAAGGACGCGTCATTCTGTGTGGTAGTTCAACGCCGTAGGTTTATACATCAACATGGCGAAACTACAGACTGCCGTTCTAGTTTCAATGTTTTGTCTGTTGTTGGAGAAATCGAGCTGGGTGTCAGGAAGTTCTGAAGTGGAACGAAATCGTGGATCAAATAACGTTCAAGTTGGCGGAGTTCGCCATTTCCGTGGTAGGCAGTTGTATTTCTTTAATAATTCAAACGAATTCGTAAAGCTTGCTGCGACGATTCATATTCTCTATCCATATATATCTATCCTGGATGAAAATTAACGTCAAATATTGTGGGGGTTTTGCATATATGTACCATATGGTTTTCAGGCAGATCGGTTTCAGATATTTCGATTACCTGCTGTCAATAATGTTGATGGTATCAATCGCGCAATTCAAAATGCTTATATATTTAATTAATTAGCTTATAACCTTGGGTTTTGGTTAGACAAAAAGGCACTTTCAGTAACGAAGATATTGCTCCTGTATTTATAAAGGTCAGGATGCGTGATTCTTCTTGCGGGCTGCGGCACTTGACGTTTCACCGCGTCAGAGAAATGGTGTCTGATCATGACGCACAAATATATCAACTAGGGAGTCTTGCTTTAATTGTGGACGTTTATTGCTGTACTTTACAGCTATTTCAATCAAGGTCGTCACAAGCGATAGTCAAATGTTCAATTCAAGCGGAGGGCTTCGGTTGCGCAATCGTCAGAACAAGCGCGTTCACCTCTGAGATCGTGGGTTCGATTATGCCCTAACTGACCCTTCCATCGTAGCTGTGCTCCGCGTAGGCGCCCTTAGAAAGCCTTCGACTCGATCAGGTTGAGTAATTCAGCTTAGCTCTCAGCTGCAAGTAAAGATGATTAGCACACCCCAGTATCCCATTTACTTACAAAACTACAAAAGTATAATGGGAATAGGATATTTAAAAAATGGAGAGAATGTTTTATAAATCGTGCACCCTTGGTGGTCAAAGCCTAAACAGCTAAAAATATTAAAATTTGGTATTGACTCATCTTGCTGTTCGCGCTTGGAATGTACAATCCTTAATTGAAATTAGTCTCCTTCGCAGACATCTCGTGGATGCTTGCACATGTAACCTACGAACACGGCTAGATTAAAAAATATACAAACCAAAAAATGAAAACATCTTGCGGAAAAACCCAATATATGCATGGACTAAAAACAGCATGCAGTATATTGGATTTTTCAAGACGTTTCTATTTTTCGGTTTTTATTATTTTCATAAGACACTATGCATATTATATTCCAAATTTGTTCCATTGTCTCGCTTTTATATTAATCTTTCATGCGAAAAAAATATTTTGCAAGTAATAATAGTCATTAGCATCCTGTGTCGGCATCTAAATAGGGCAACTGTGTCCGAGCTGGGAGTTAACAATTAGCTGCGGAGGAGGCTAGATAATAATTTACTCCTTCATTTATCACAAACACTCGTTAACGCCTGGCAACATCTGAAACAATAGAGATTTTCAGTAGTAACATAGAATCACCCAAAATTAATTGAGCCAGAATGGTGGTGTTTTTGCAATGCGAAGTGTAATTATCTCACGAAGGTGTTTATTGAAAGAAAATTTAAAGTTAACTCGATTGAAAATTATCATTTATACGAAGATCCCCGCAAAGATGAAATATTCAGCCTAGGGATGAGCTGATTAATCGGTAAATAATCGGCAAAGCCGATTAATCAGCCGTTTTTAAAATAATCGCTAATCGGCCGATTATTGCCTGATAATCGGCAAATAATCGGCCATAAGACTTTTTCTGCAGCTGCCAATCACATGCTAAAATACCGAATACAAGCGAATAGATTTGCACATTTTGTTGCCAAACCTGTGTCTTTTGTCTCAAGCGAAGTGAAGCTGGGAACATTTCCACTAAAAAAACGCAGCAGACTAGCTCCGCATAGCTGACAGTGCCTTGTTTTTACACCATAATCTGCCAAAATTAAACTTT